TGGCACTTGTATTTCATATATCCTTTTTTACATTTCTTGTTTTTTTTTTTTTTTTTTGCGGTACGCGGGCCTCTCACTGTTGTGGCCTCTCCCGTTGCGGAGCACAGGCTCCGGACGCACAGGCTCAGCGGCCATGGCGCGCGGGCCCAGCCGCTCTGCAGCATGTGGGATCTTCCTGGACCGGGGCACGAACCCGTGTCCCCTGCATCAGCAGGCGGACTCTCAACCACTGCGCCACCAGGGAAGCCCCTACGTTTCACTTTTCAAGCAATTTATTATTATATCTTACAAAAGAATCAGTCTGTGAAGTTAAAAAGAAACTGGCTCTTCACTACATATAATTTAAGAGGCACTGTTCTAGACAGTTCCTCCTAAGATTCTGCAGGCCTCTTGTATACATGGCAAAAATAAAAAAAGGAAACAGTGATAAGATTGTGGTAGGTAGTTTATTTAGTACTATTCACATGCCACCAGCCACTACAGAGCAGTGTCCTTTTACTTGTCTCTTTCACAGCTACCATTGGAGCCTCTGACCAGGCTACCCTAGGCCAGTGGCTTTTTTACACTGCCCTAGAATCACTCAGAGAGCTTATAAAAAATAGCAGTGTCCAGGCCCAACTCCAGGCCAGTTGAATCAGAATTTCTTGGGAGGGGGCCTGTGTACAGTTTAAAAAGCTGTATATTTTTCCAGTTACATCCAGGTGATTATATTTTACAGCCAGCATTATTGTATGGATTCCCTCATCCCAGAAAAATTTGCTTTTTCTCTGTTTGGAAGAAATCATTAATCTGGGTGGGGGATTTTCTGTGCAGGACCATTCACTCTCTTTAACAGCGAAAGGGGGACTTTCCAGTTAAATATGTCAGATTGAACTTTGGCATTTTATCTTTACGCCCTCCTAGAACCCCACTGAAATGAAAGGAATAAAAAAAAATAGAAGGCATAAATCACAAGTAGAAAGCAAATGAGAGGAGACAGAAGTAGGCCTGATTGGTCAACAAGTTTTTGATAGAAGCAGGTTTGTAGAAATTAGTAGAACTGAGAAAGCTGATCTAAAAACCTGATGTTAAAAAGAAGCAACCCAGGGCTTCCCTGGTGGCGCAGTGGTTGAGAGTCCGCCTGCCGATGCAGGGGACACGGGTTCGTGTCCCGGTCTGGGAAGATCCTACATGCCGCGGAGCGGCTGGGCCCGTGAGCCATGGCCACTGAGCCTGTGCGTCCGGAGCCTGTGCTCCGCAACGGGAGGGGCCACGGCAGTGAGAGGCCCGCGTACCGCAAAAAAAAAAAAAAAAGAAGCAACCCAGTTTATGTTGCTGGCTCAGAAATTCAAGGAACCAGTTACCTCAGAAGGTAAGGGTGGAGTATGGAGCTGAAAACAGGAACGGTGGGAAGTCTGTGTATCAGTCTCCCATGTGTCCTCCTTCACCCTGAGCAGCCTGGAAACGATTGTTCCTTTACCTTGGATAAAACAAGGGGTTAGAGCTGGGAGAAATTTAATCTAAGAAGTTATTTGTAACTGAAGGGATATCTTGTGAAAATAAGGACAACTTTTGAAAAACAGGGACTAAGCGGAAGTCTGAATGTTGAGGTTAAGACCTCACCATTCCCTTTTCCCTTTTCTCAGAGCGTGGCAGTCAGGTGTCTATGCCCCAGACAGGAGATTGGAGCATTTCTCTCTGGGATGAGCAGCCAGGAGACAAGGTTTACAGATGCTAACTTCTGAGGATTCCCTAATAAAAAACCAACTCATTGTCTCATCACCTTGTAATAAAGCCAGTTGACAAGCACCGCCCACTCACCCCCACCTCCCCAAGTGGACAGAGCTTCTGATCAGCATGTTGGTGGTGATGCATCATCAGACACTTGCGGAAAGCCTCTGAAGTAAATAAAAAACAGAGACCTAAAGATTTAAGGAGAGAAAAATATTTAAAATGTTAAAAAAAACATTTTATTTACACTTTGTATCTGTAGAGAAATGAGATATTATATCCAAGAAGCTAGAATAGGATGCTATTAAAAAGAACATTCAGGACTTCCCTGGTGGCGCAGTGGTTAAGAATCTGCCTGCCAATGCAGGGGACACGAGTTCGAGCCCTGGTCCGGGGAAGATCCCACATGCTGCGGAGCAGCTAAGCCCATGCGCCACAACTACTGAGCCTGTGCTCTAGAGCCCGTGAGCCACAACTGCTGAGCCTGCGCACCACAACTACTGAAGCCCGCACGCCTAGAGCCCGTGCTCCGCAACAAGAGAAGCCACCACAATGAGAAGCCCGCGCACCGCAACGAAGAGTAACCCCCGCTCGCCACAACTAGAGAAAGCCTGCACGCAGAAACAAAGACCCAACGCAGCCAAAAGTAAATAAATAAATAAATCTATTATTTTAAAAAACATTCAGAGAACAAGAAAATGGTCTTGGAAATTAAAACTGTGATAGGAAGAATTGTAACTGCAAGAGAACTGTTAGAGAACTGTTAGAAAGTAATACCAAAGAAATCTACCAATAGAAAATGAAAAGAAATGCAATCTTGAAGATATATGATAATCAAAAGATGAATCTAAGTGGTCGAGTGTCTAATGAAAAGGATTTGTCAGGAGGGAGGGAGGGAAGGTGAGGGAATAAAAAGACACTGAAAGGGCCTGGCACAACGAGTGTAGAAAAGGTCCCACACTAAGGAGAAAAAGAAGAGGTACAATTTTTCACGAAATAAAAACAGGTCACATACAGAAGACTGGGAATTGGTGTGATATTAGACTTTTCAACAGCCATGTTGAAGCCACTAGCCAACAGTGGAATAATGCCCTCAAAATTTTGGGGGTAAGTTATTTCCATCACCCAATAGAATATTATCAACCAATAGCAATATGAACATGTTATCTAGAAACATGAGGAAAATAGCAGCAAGAAACAGCTAACAGAATTCAAAGTAATTTTCCTTGATTCCCTGGGAGTGGGAATCAAGAATGGAGAGGATGTTGCAGGCAATGCTCTTTTTTGTTATAAGCCTCGTAGTAGTATTTGACCTTTGGAACTACAAATGTATGAATTAGGTAAAAATAAAAAGCAACTCAAAGAAATGAGAAGGAAGCCAGGCTAGAAGGGACCAAGGTATCAGAAGAGTAGATCTACAAATTTTGGAGTCAACAGGAATGTAGCAGGAATTAGTCCTAAAAATAACAGGGCTATGAGTGAAATCTTAATATAAAAAAACAGTAAGTGATAACAACAGGCATGTTAAGTTCGAATGGTGCAAGCCTCAGAAAAGGCTTACAAAAAAATTTTTTTGCAAGGAGGAAGAGACAGAATGTTCTGACAGAGTTTAATAAGATTTAACAGTTCCATCTAATAGGTTTTATTAGAATATATACCACTTAATAGTATGCTTTTAGTAAAGAAGAATCTGAAAGTACAATTTATGATTTTATAGACATAAATTCTCTATGTTGGCATTGTCACTAGTCCAAGAGCACTGTTAGTCCAAGAGCCCTTTCTGTGAGAAACTAAAGGGAAGATATGTAACTCATCTTAAGAAAGTTTATTCTTTATTTTTCTTGATCCTACTCAGCTTCTTGAAAAAATGCAGGTATTTCTGACAAAGAGGATTAGTCAGTTATGGAAGGATCAGCTGTAATGACTCTCACCACTATAAGAAACAACTCAGATCGTTTTCCGATACTGACTTTAAACTGTGCAGAGTAGTACCTAATGACATAGTAAACATGAACAAAAAATTCAGTGGAAAAAGTGCCATATTTACTAAATGGCAAAATAGAAAAAGAACACTTTTTAAAAACTTCTGGCTGTCATGTTGTGACAAAACTAGTTGAATTTTAAGTTTAGGCTTTTCCATTTCATCTAATGTTGACTTTTAGGTTACTGAATGAGACAGTGTGCCTATAAATGTTGTAGTCTTAAAATAACTCACTTATAAAGTGCCATAAACCGCTTTAGATTTTTTTTTTTTTTTTTGCTGTACGCGGGCCTCTCACTGTTGTGGCCTCTCCCGCTGTGGAGCACAGGCTCCGGACGCGCAGGCTCAGCGGCCGTGGCTCACGGGCCCAGCCGCTCCGCGGCATGTGGGATCTTCCCGGACCGGGGCACGAACCCGCATCCCCTGCATCGGCAGGTGGACTCCCAACCAATGCGCCACCAGGGAAGCCCTAGATTTTTTTTAAAGGAGTAAGAATAAAGATGCCAAATTGCATATTTTTTGTTTTTTATTTACTAAAGTATCATAACTTTTTTTCTGTTACTGCTATTTTCAAGCTCTTCCAGGGTTAAGAATTGGGAAGCTTAAAGACATCTTCCATTTAAACCTAAATTTTATTTTCTTTTCTCCTATTTTCCATTATACTCAAACTGCTTCTTCAAAATCATGGATAAAATTTGTTATGTCCTAGGGTGAGGAGGGCAGATATGGAATGTTTACAGGTGATTGACCTGTGAGGTTTAGACTGCCAGATGAGTAGAGCGGCGGTTAGTTGGTAAGTGAAATTGGTAAGATTACTACTTAAAGGTTTTTTAACTAATGCATTACAGAAATGTGGCCCTGATTATCACTTTTGAGAAGTTGAATGCAGATACCTTTCAACAATACAGAATATACTTTCCCTTCGTAATACTTGAGGCAGTACCTAAATTATTCAAAGAAAGGAGACAGAAATCAGTGTCATAATGAAATTAGGTCGATGCATAGGAAAAAAACCAACCAGAGTTTAAGGGTTTGTTTCCTTTCCCCCGAGTTCTGAGTAGTCTATCTGAAAGGACGTGCATAGTGAGGACTAGCTTGAATAATAGTGCCACAGAAGGGCCTGCTGGCCTTACAGCTGCCAGACACTGTAAGAGCCTCATCACCTTAGCAGGGCAATGTAAGCTGAATTTCTGACCAGAACCCCTGAAATTTCCAATGAGAAGAAGGAGGGTGGGTACTTACTGCCTTTGCTGTTTTCACACACTACTTTGATTAACTTATTTTCTCCTTTTCCTGTTTTTGTCTTTAGGTCTTATAATCAATGGATAAAGTGGGGAAAATGTGGAATAACTTCAAATACAGGTGTCAGAATCTCTTCAGTCATGAGGGAGGAAGCCGTAGTGAAAATGTGGATATGAACTCCAACAGATGTTTGTCTGTCAAAGACAAAAACATCAGTATAGGAGACTCAGCTCCTCAGCAACAAAGCAGTCCCTTAAGAGAAAATGTTGCCTTACAACTGGGGTTAAGCCCTTCAAAGAATTCTTCAAGGAGAAACCGAAACTGTGCCACTGAAATTCCTCAGATTGTTGAAATAAGCATTGAAAAGGATAATGACTCATGTGTCACCCCAGGAACAAGACTTGCAAGAAGAGATTCCTACTCTCGACATGCTCCTTGGGGTGGGAAGAAGAAACATTCCTGTTCTACAAAGACACAGAGTTCACTAGATACCGATAAAAAGTTTGGTAGAACTCGAAGTGGACTTCAAAGGAGAGAGAGGCGATATGGTGTAAGCTCTGTGCACGACATGGACAGCGTTTCCAGCAGAGCCGTAGGAAGTCGCTCTCTGAGACAGAGGTTGCAGGATACTGTGGGCTTGTGTTTTCCCATGAGAACTTACAACAAGCAGTCAAAGCCCCTCTTTTCTAATAAAAGAAAAATACACCTTTCTGAGTTAATGCTTGAGAAATGCCCTTTTCCTGCTGGCTCGGATTTGGCCCAAAAATGGCATTTGATTAAACAGCATACAGCCCCTGTGAGCCCACATTCAACATTTTTTGATACATTTGATCCATCCTTGGTTTCTACAGAAGATGAAGAAGATAGGCTTCGAGAGAGAAGGAGGCTTAGTATTGAAGAAGGGGTTGACCCCCCTCCCAACGCACAAATACATACGTTTGAAGCCACTGCACAGGTTAACCCGTTATATAAACTGGGACCAAAGTTAGCTCCTGGAATGACTGAAATAAATGGGGACAATTCTGCAATTCCACAAGCTAATTGTGACTCTGAAGAGGACACAACCACGCTGTGTTTGCAGTCACGGAGGCAGAAGCAACGTCAGGTATCTGGAGACAGCCATGCCCACGTTAGCAGACAGGGAGCTTGGAAAGTCCATACACAGATTGATTACATACACTGCCTCGTGCCCGATTTGCTTCAGATCACAGGTAATCCCTGTTACTGGGGAGTGATGGACCGTTACGAAGCAGAAGCCCTTCTGGAAGGGAAACCTGAAGGTACATTTTTGCTCAGGGACTCTGCACAGGAGGACTACCTCTTCTCTGTGAGCTTCCGTCGCTACAACAGATCCCTGCATGCCCGAATTGAACAGTGGAATCACAACTTTAGTTTTGATGCTCACGACCCGTGTGTGTTTCACTCCTCCACTGTAACAGGACTTTTGGAACATTACAAAGACCCCAGTTCTTGCATGTTTTTTGAACCGCTGCTTACGATATCACTAAATAGGACCTTCCCTTTTAGCCTGCAGTACATCTGCCGTGCAGTCATCTGCAGGTGCACTACGTATGATGGAATTGATGGGCTCCCTTTACCGTCAATGTTACAGGATTTTTTAAAAGAGTATCATTATAAACAAAAAGTTAGAGTTCGCTGGCTAGAACGAGAACCAGTCAAGGCAAAGTAAACCCTCCTGTCCCCAAAGGGCATTAACTAGATCTGCTTTTATGCGCATCGGGCAGTACACCTCTAGCAAGCACACATATCAGTGTTAGGTTTTCTTCAGTACAGTATGTAAGCTTAGTGTTAGTATTTGTCAGGTGCAATCTGCTGTTACTTACTCAGATAAACGTGGTGCCTATTGAGACAACAGAGGATACAGCTACAGGTGTTCGGTAAGGCTACAAAAACATTCTGCCGATTTAGCTGACAGTTTGGTTTTTAATGGCTGTAGTTAACTGAGTGAAGCAACTCTGGGGCATTTGCTATGAAGAATTCTATTTCTTACTGAAGAACAAATTATTAATATTGGATGAGGATTTCAACAGTGTGACTAATGTTTGAAATTATTATTTTTTCTAAGAATTTTTCTATAACCTTCCAAAAGTAGTGATGTTTGTAGTTACTATAAATCAAGCTTTGGAAGTCCAAAAAATAAAGACTGCCTTCCTTTTAGAAAAAAATGCAGTTTTCTGGCCACAAGGGCATAGTGCAGTGCAGTTCACTTAAGTGTTGATAGTCTCCTTTTCTCTTCTGCAAAAGGTACTGTTAAGTAAACCAGTTTTCTAAGTAGTAGTTCTTAAAATTTCAGACTTATGAAAAGTTGGTAGTAGAACTTTATTTAAGGCCTTAAGTGTTCATTTTTTAATGAGTGCTTTAACACAGCACATTGGGAACAGCTGCTGCAGAGCAGGCCTGCGTGTGATTTTTTAAGGTGACGTGTGCAGTCAAATCGCTGACTCGTTAAAGTTGGATCTTTTTCTATGCCCGTGATGAGTTTGTGAACCATGAAGAAAATGAGACTGAAAGATACCCAAACAAGTCAGATAATACTACCGTGGTTGCTGACTGTTGAGATTATTGTTAAACTGTAATTCATAATTTAGATGGCAGTATTTATCTCTTTGTTGTAAACTCTTATAGCTGAATTGCTTAAGTACGAGTTATAGAATTTCAGTGCACTTAATTTTTAATGGAAAAATCTTAAACCTAAATTGCTGATTTAAAAGGTACTGTACAACCATTGTATCTGTAAATAACTTTACTTAGCACCTTTTTGTCACTTAGAATAGTATGCAATACTACTTGAGTGAGCTATTTTGGAAGTAATACCAAGTTCTAGTGTTTGCTTCTTAGTATTGGACTGAATTTACAGTTCCGTCCTGGACATTTTGCACTAAAGTAGTCGAATCCATTCTTCTGTCTTTTTGTTAACGTGCTCTGTACCACTGGTGAGTGCTCCTTAGTTTCCTTACCGGCTGCTACAGAAAGTTCTTTTACATCCCAATGGCTATCGCCAAGGCCACAAAAAAGAAAAGCTATATTTGTATGCAACACTAACCCTTTGACTGCTAATGTATGTTTCCGCTTGCTGTGCCTTGTTACGGCTGCTTTTTTGTGCTAATAAAGTACGTTTGGTGTTCTCCTTGTATATCTGCTGTTTTATACATTTGCAACAATTTCTCTTGTAAATGGAATGGTTTGGGGTTTTTAAATAAGCATTACCTGACAACCTACTATAGTTAATGCAGAATTACTGAACAGTCTAATATTGACTTATTCCGACTAAGCTAACTCTAAATTTAATTCTGTACATCTTTCCAATCATAATCACATATACTGTGGAACAGTATCTATAGTTACTGCAAATTACTGTATAGTCTAGATTATAACAGAAAATGAACAGAGAAATACTGGCTAAACCTATTGATTTCTCTGCTTATAAGTGAAAGGTTGAAACTATCGATGACATGTTATAATAAATGAATATCTATAGCCTCCCACTGCATCAGAAACAAGTTAAATGAAGTCTTGTAAACTAATAATACATCAGCACCATTTATTGGTTTGGGGACCATTTTAATTAATAACAAATGCCCAAAATGTAGAACTTTAACCAAAGACTTGTCCATTTTAAAGCAAAATGGGGATTGAAGGGACTTACAATTCCTGTTGTTTCTAATAGAAGTCCCTGAAGAACATATACCAAAGTGTTTGAGAACTTCATCCAAACCTACTTTAAAGCATTATGTGCAATTAAGTTGTTATGACATAATTACAGTGCATAATTGTTGGGTCCGTTTTCTTGAGCTTATAATGTACCTGGAAAATAAACCTCTTGGGGAAGAAAAAGTTCATACTGATTATTGGAGAAAGACTATATATGCAAGCAAGATCTTATTTTAAAGAGGTAACTTGAAACTCCAAGAAAGCACTTGATGTTTTGTATGCTTGTAGCAAATCGATGTTTTAATTGTAGTTTTATAGAAAGTATTAATGCTTTTATGTATTTCAGAAATTTCATATGTTAAATGGAAATTGTTTTAAATGTGTAAATATTCGAGTTTATGTAAGCATGTATGTTACTGTGCTAAAAGTCACTTATGTTTCAGTGTGTAATATTAATATGCAACTTTTGGTTTAAAATTTTTTCTTAAACAATTAGTGGCTTACATTTTAAAAAAGAAAAACCACCAGCATGAAACTGCACCTAAGTCTATATTCACTGTGTCTTTTTCTGAATCCCGTTGTAGCCTGTCAACTAAATTTGTGTTTTCATGGTCTTTTTGAAGTGCGTTTTAATGAGAACTAGGAAATTCTTTAGAAGTTTAGACACTTCATAGTGAAGTAATTATAATTTAACCCGAGGAAAGATTGCTCTGATTCATATCCATTCTCATTCTTACGTTCACTTATTCATTCATTCACACTCCCTATATACATATGCATATATATATATATTTATGCTGTTATTAATTTCAACATTAATATTGCCATCTGATTCAAAATCATGTAAAGGCCTTATTCTATATATATATACTATCCTTGTACCATTCATACTTGATTATCTACACCTGAAGTTTAGTCTTACAACTATAATCTTGTTTGTAATACCGTTACCTTAAAAAGAGAAAGCATTCATTAGTATTTTCTTTACTGGCTAAACACAGTAAAAAAAATTTTGAAGAAACAGCTTGGTTTAAATATAGTTACTAAGAGTCATAATTAAATTTATACTTTTTAGACAAAAATTGAGCCCAAGTAATCATACTCCACAAACTGATCTGTGTTCCTATGGTCCATGAGAAGGTTTATATAAGATTTATAGTGGCTTGAACTATAAAAATTGATACTTGAATTCTAACCTTCATTTTGACAAAACTCAAAGTTTATGAACATTTTTGACATTTTGACCTGGTTGCTATTCATTTTCCACCCTAAGCTTCCTTTGCTCCATGGCACTAAATACTAGTTTGGTACGTTTTATTGAGATTGATGTTAGAAATCCCTTATTTTTGTAGCAAAGAAAGTTACAAAGTTCCTTTTTGGTAGAGGCAAAGAGTCTAGAGTGAGTCAGAACTCTCCTAGGAAAGATGCAGGGCCTATATCTATCTCTGGTAGTGTGTTACCACCACAGATCACACCAGTTCCTTCATTTATTCTGTACCGCAACACATAACAGTTTTACCTAGATGAAATTAGGTAAACATGCACACTAAGGGCTGACTTAAAGGTGAGAAACGTTTCCAAAGGGGGCAATGCTGCTTGGTGCATAAAAACTACATATCTATGAGGCTCAGGCTTTGTTTCATATTTTTGCAACAGCCAATAGAGAACACAGTCTTTTATAATGTGGTATATTTCTAAGGAGATTTGGGGTGGGATTTCTGTGGGAGGTGGTTGGTTGTTGTTTTGGAGGGTGGGGCGTGGAGGGATTGTCCTTTCAAAGTAGGGATCAGTTGGAACAACTGTTTCCATGCCCAGGAAGCTTGATTGAATATTTAGACTCATTTCAGCCATTCATTCAACAAATATTCATTGAAGACCCATGTGCCAGTCACCATTTTAGGTGATGGGTATATATTGGGTATATATTAGGTGATGGGTATATATTAGGTGGGTATATATTAGGTGATGGGTATATATTGGGTTACAAGACAAAGTTATAGGGTCACTAGAGAATAGTGACCTTGAGTGATGAGAAGATGATCACCAAGATCAAAGAAAAGAGTATTTTAATGAAAGAAACAAAACTAAAGATCTCAAAGCAGGAGTGAGCTTTTATACTGAAAGAGAGAATGCCAGTAAGACAAGTCCAGTGAGTGTGGTGAGGAATGGTGGGTGATAAGTTTGTAGAGATTGGCAAGGGCCTGATCACTTGGGACTGTGGGCCCAAAGTAAGGAATCTAAATTTTATTCTGAGTCTGACGGTAAGTAAGGGAGTGACATGGCCTGCTTTATATCCCTTTAATAGATGGAGAACAAGCTATAGTGGGGCAAAATTAAGGTGACTGTTGCGGTTTCCTAAGTGTGAGATGGTGACAACCTGGACTGGAGTGGTAGTCATAGGGAGGAGTTTTTTGGTGGAAAAACTTGACAGGATTTGGTGATGGGTTAGATGTGAAGAAGAAAGAAGAAGTCAAAGATGAGTCCGATTTTGAGCAAAGGATGGTGATGCTGAGATTTCAGAACAACAGTGGAGGAGCAAATTGGAGGGTTTAAATCAAAACTTGCCTTGGATATGTTGAGATTTGAGATTCCTGTTAATTATCTCAATGGAGACAGACATTGGGTAGACAGATGTATGAATGTAGAGTTAAGGGAAAAAAGTAAAATACGGGGAGTTGCTATATGGATAATATTTAAAACTATAGGACAGGATGGTAACAGCTAGGGATTTTGCAGGGGGTTAAGTATTTCTTCGGGGGAAGTAATTATGGCGGCATTTATCTTAGTTTGTCGATTCAAGATTCTGTATCATTGAAAGCCATCTGCTTTCAATAGAGGACTTGCCATTCCAAAAGTTTTTAAATACTGGAATCATAAGCCTTGCACTCAGTTTTAAAACTTCATCCATGTCAAATTGGTTGTCATGTTTTCTATGTCAGGTTGGCTTGTGTATCTTTTTTAGTACAAATTTTTATATGAGAAATGCAAGTTTATTATGGAATACTTAGAAAATACTGAAGATTATAAAGAATCAGGACCACGGCAAAGTCCATATTATCATTTTCTCTACCATCACCAACCCCGACCCTCTCAACTCCCATTTTGTAATCTTCCAGAGGTAACTGCTCTTAACATTTATTATATTCCCTTCCACTATTTTTAATGCATTTCTAACAATTAGAAGATGAAAGTTTATGCAATATGGATACAGATAGATGACAACATACCAAGGGAGGAAGAGAGTTATAGGCCTTGAATCACTTTTAGAGCGTAAACTCAGATGTGCTCCAAATTTACTTTTTACCTGATTCAGTGTGGAGCTAGGTTTCTTGAGACTTTTAAGACAGGTCATTGAATGGATAGAGTAACTGACACTGCTAAGGCCCAGTCACTGAAGGTTTCTTGAAATACAATTTCAGTAGAAGATGAGAACCCTCATCTCATAGAACTTTTAAACTAATGGGGACAGAGGCAAATATATAAATGTGTAATGACGAGAATATATGAAAATAAGCAAAAAGTAATTGAGCAAAAACTGGTTGCGTGCTTGGTAAGGAAAAACACAAAAGTGACCCACATGGAGACAGGGTGATTCGGTGCCTTAGATTTGTTTCATCACAAGAATGTTTAAGAAATTGACTTAGTGGATGGTGGAGCAGTCAGGTGTGGAAGTGTAGTGGTAAGTAACAACTGATGAGGGCAGGGTGTGGTAGAAGAATTTGTTGAGTGTAGCATTTGAATATACTAGACTGAAGAGTCTGAATTTATCTAGGTTCGTAAGTAAGCAAGGTAGAATTAGAAATTCTGCCAGCAGCTGTAAAATGGATTATGACCAGGAGAGACTGGAGAAAGGACGCTCTGTGAAATTTGCTTGGGTCAGATTGATAGCACTGGAATTAAGCTGAGGAGCACATCAGAAAGAAAGCACACAAGGGAAAAAAAAAAATAGCACCAAAAATTTGGGGTAAGGAAAAGAAGCAGTTTGCTTGCCTAGAAGATTGTTAGTTAACTGTGTCATAATTTCTCCAAATTCAAGCAAATTATAAGAAAGCCAAGCTAGTATCTCCCATTTAATATGAATATGTATCCTCTCTATTTTAAAATAAAACTAAATATGTGTAGCATATTTTTGAAAGGCACATTTTTAATGCAAAAAAAGTAATATTTAAATAGGGAAAACTTCATCACTCTTAGCTATACTTACATAGAGAAATTAGGAAAACTATGTAAAATCTAAACATCAAAACTTTTTTTCAACCTGACAAAAATGCTGAGAACAGGTGGCAAAATAAGATTTAAGAGGGTGTTACTGAATTTAACCCCCCAAATGCTATTGTGATTGATGTATTTTTTTCTCATTCTTAATTTGAGTGAGTGAAGCCTGCACTGAGTTTTTATTTAGTAGTCAGTCTTACATTTAGAAATGTATAGTATTACTGCCTGATATTTCTTCCTCTAAGTATTTACTAAGCATCCCTCTATAACTGGAAACCCAAGATTTTAGGGTATTTTTTTAAACTTAATATAACTTTACCATTACACTGAATGGTATAATACTTTCTCATCTGTCTTAAAATACAATTATGCACTTAATCCTACTTTTTTTTGCTTCTATCTTTAAGATGAATTATTTTAAATTTATAGTGATTTTTGTAAACATTTTAATATATTTTTAAAAATTGAACTGGAATAATTTAAAGCTTTTGTCATCTAATTTTATAAATATTTTTTAGGTATCCTTGGGTGTAATACAGGCAGTATGGAATTTTAATGACATTATAGGAATAGAGAAAAATTTTGGTATACAGTAGTAGTTACAATACTGTGAATGATAAAATCTGTAAATTATATTTTTAAAGTACTGTCTTTTGGCAATTTTTATCCAAATAATAACAGGATTAGAAAACTAAAATTAATTTCTAAAATTTGGCTATGCTAAGTTTCTCATCTTTCAAGTAGATAATCTTAGAGGCAGTATAGTTTATTGGTGAAGTGAACAAAATAAACGTTAAGGGCCTACATTTGATCTATGAATTCTGCCAGAGGCCGAGTGATGTACCTAAAATAATCCTAGAGGGAAAGCTGCCAGAATAGCTTCCTGGCCCAGCAAACAAACCGTATATAACCTGATGCAGCAGACGGATTATTATGTAATACATAAGATTTACCTGAGCTGCTGTGTTCTAATCCCCTACTTGTCTTTGATACGTGACTGAAAGGTGTTAAGTACTTGTCCAAGGTCACAGGAAGAGTGAATGTTGGAGCTAGGTTTTAAACACGGGTTGAGGCCAGAACCTAAGCTCTTATCAATGATACTTTAAGTTTTGGATCCTAATTTTGTTAGCCAAGTCCATATCTCTTCCAATGCTCTGTCCCTTACTTTCACCTCAAGGGGACAATAGATTTTCAACAACTGATAAAAACAGATTCTAAACCGTTGATAAAACTGTTGAAACAACAGGCCTCTAGAGTTTCCTTAATTCATATTCTCCAGTTCATTATCTAGGGAGTCACCCACATATTTCTCCAACTTTTTCTAGCACTGCTTTTCCCCTTGCTCACTACTCTGCTGTCATGCTGGCCTTCATATGATGGCTCCAGCACTCCAGTATCGTTCCCACCTCAGAGCTTTTGCACCTGTTGCTCCCTCCTGAAATTCTCAACCTTTCCTCTCTTCCACATAGCAAGATAGGTTCTTTTCATTCTTTATCTCTTAAGCTTAAATGTCACCTCCTCAGAGAGACCTGATTATGCCATTTATAGGAGATCTCCCCCATATTATTCTCTGTCTCTGCCCTGCTTTTGTTTTCTTCATAGATTTTATTACAAAAAACTTGCAAATAAGTTATTCGTTTGGGTTTGGGTTTTGACTTTACCTCTTGAGAAACTCAGAAAAGAGACCGCCTCTACCTTGTTTGCTATTTTATCCTCAATGCGTAGCAGAGTACTAACCCAGGGTAGATTATTAATATCTGTTAAGTGAGTGAATGAATTAATCATCCTCTTGTATATATTTATCCACTTTACTGACAAATATATCATGAAAACCTTATTGCATGTCCTCCTAAAATCTAGATTTCTAAGAGGGAAGTTTATAGTGATACAAACCTTACCTCAGGAAACAAGAGAAATCTCAAACAAGAGAAATCCCATAGCCACCTCTAAACACACCCTTTGACATGGCCCTGCCTACCAGAGGGACAAGACCCAGCTCCACCCAGCAGTGGGCAGGTGCCAGTTGCTCCCACCAGGAAGCCTGCACAAGCCCCTGGACCAACCTCACCTACCAGGGGGACAGACAGCAGAAATGAGAGGAGCTACAATCCAGCAGCCTGAGGAATGGAGGCCACAAACACAGAAAGTTAGACAAAATGAGATGGCAGAGAAATGATATGTTCCAGATGAAGGAACAAGATAAAACTCCAGAAGAATAACTAAGTGAAGTGGAGATAGGCAATCTTCCTGAAAAAGAATTCAGAGTAATGATAGTAAAGATGATCCAAGATCTTGGAAAAAGAATGGAGGCACAAACCAAGATGATACATGACATGTTTAACAAAGAGCTAGAAGATTTAAAGAACAACAGAGATGACCAATACAATAATTGAAATGAAAAATGCACTAGAAGGAATCAATAGGATAAATGGGGCAGAAGAATGAATAAGTGAGCTGGAAGACAGACTGGTAGAAATCACTGCTGCAGAATAGAATAAAGAAAAAAGAATGAAAAGACATGAGGACAGGGACTTCCCTCACGGCTCAGTGGTTAAGAATCTGCCTGCCATTGCAGGGGACACGGGTTCTATCCCTGGTCTGGGAAGGTCCCACATGCTGTGGAGCAACTAAGCCGGTGCACCACAGCTCCTGATCCTGCACTCTAGAGCCCGCGAGCCACAACTACTGAGCCCACATGTCGCAATTACTGAAGCCTGCGTGCCTAGAGCCCTTGCTCTGCAACGAGAAGCCACTGCAGTGAGAAGCCAGCGCACCGCAATGTAGAGTAGCCGCTTCTCACTGCAACTAGAGAAAGCCTGCTCGCAGCAATGAAGACCCAACACAGCCAAAAATAAATTTAAAAAAAAATGAAGACAGCCTCATAGATCTCTTAGGCAACATTAAATGCACCAACATTTGCATTCTAGGGGTCCCAGAAGGAGATGAGAGAGAGAAAGGGCCTGAGAAGATATTTGAAGAGATAATAGCTGAAAACTTCCCTAACATGAGAAAGGAAACACTCAAGTCCAGGAAGCACAGAGAGTCCCATACAGGATGAACCCAAGGAGGGACATGGTGAGACACATATTAATCAAATTGACAAAAATTAAAGACAAAGTGACAAAAATTAAAGACAAAGAATATTAAAGGCAACAATAGAAAAGCAACAAATAACATACAAGGGAATCCCCATAAGGTTATCAGCTGATTTTTCAGCTCAAATTCTGCAGGCCAGAAGGGAGTGGCAGGACATATTTAAAGGATGAAAGGGAAAAACCTACAACCAAGAATACTCTTCCCAGCAAGGCTCTCGTTCAGATTCAATGGAGAAATCAAAAGCTTTACAGACAAGCAAAAGCTAAGAGAATTCACCACCACCAAACCAGCTATACAACATATGCTAAAGGAACTTCTCTAGATGGAAAAGAAAAGGCCACAACTAGAAACAAGAAAATTATGAATGGGAAAGCTCATTGGTAAATGGCACAAAAGACAAAAAGGCACAGGAGACAAAACACCTGTACTCTGAAAACTATAAGATGCTGATGAAAGAAACCACAGACAGAAAAATATACCACGTTCTTGGATTGGAAGAATCAATATTGTCAAAATGACTATACTACCCAAGGCAATCTACAGATTCAATGCAATCCCTAACAAATTAATAATGGCATTTTTCACAGAACCAGAACAAAAATTTTCTAAATTTATATGGAAACACAAAAGACCCTGAATAGCCAAAGCAATGCTAAGAAAGAAAACCAGAGCTGGAGGAATCAGGCTCCCTGACTTCAGACTACACTACAAAGCTACAGTAATCAAAGCAGTATGGTACTGGCACAAAAACAGAAATATAGATCAATGGAACAGGGTAGAAAGCCCAGAAATAAACCCATGTGCCTATGGTCAATTATTCTATGACAAAGGACACAAGAATATACAATGGAGAAAAGACAGTCTCTTCTATAAGTGCTCCTGGGAACACTGGACAGCTACATGTAAAAGAACGAAATTAGAACATTCTCTAACACCATACATAAAAATAAACTCAAAATAGGTTAAAGACCTAAATATATGATGAGATACTATAAAACTCTTAGAGGAAAACATAGGCAGAACACTGTGACATAAATCACAGCAATATCTTTTTGGATCCACCTCCTAGAGTAATGAAAATAAAAACAAAAACAAATGGAATCTAATTAAACTTAAAAGCTTTTGCACAGCAAAGGGAAGTATAAACAAAGCAAAAAGACAACCCACAGAATGGGAGAAAATATATGCAAATGATGAGACTGACAAGACATTAATCTCCAAATAATACAAATAGTTCATGCAGCTCAATATCAAAAAACAAACAACCCAATGAAAAAATGGGCAGAATATCTAAATAGACATTTCTCCAAAGAAGACATACAGATGGCCAAAAAGTGCATTAAAAGATGTTCAACATCACTAATTATTAGAGAAATGCAAACCAAAACTACAATGAGGTATCACCTTACACCAGTCAGAATGACCATCATCAAAAAGTCAACAAACAATAAATGCTGGAGAGGGTGTGGGGAAAAGGGAACCCTCTTGCACTGTTGGTGGGAATGTAAATTGGTACAACCACTATGGAGGACAGTATGGGTGTTCCTTAAAAAACTAAAAATACAACTACCACATTATCCAGCAATCCCACTCCTGGGCATATATCGAGAGAAAACCATACTTTGAAAAGATACATGCACCCCAATGTTCATTACAGCACTACTTACAATAGCCAAGACATAGAAGCAACCTAAATGTCCATCAACAGAAGAATGGATGAATAAGATGTGGTACCTTTATACAATGGAATATTACTCAGCCATAAAAAAGAATGAAATAATGCCATTTGCAGCAACATGGATGGACCTAGAAATTATCATACTAAGTGAAGTAAGATAGACATAGACAAATATTATATGATATCACTTATAAGTGGAATCTTAAAAAAAGGATACACATGAACTTATTTAAAAAACAGAAACAGACTCACAGACTTAGAAAACAAACTTATGCTTATCAAAGGAGAAAGGTGGGAGTGAGGGATAAATCAGGAGTTTGGGATTAACATATACACATTACTATATATAAAATAATCAACAAGGACCGTCTTTACAGCACAAGGAGCTCTACTCAATATTCTGTAATAACCTATATGGGGGGAAAAAACCTGAAAAAGAATGGATATATGCATATGTATATAACTGAGTCACTTTGCTGTACCTCTGAAATTAACACTACATTGTAAACCAACTATACTCCAAAATAAAATAAAAACTGAATTTAAAAAACAGAGTTAAAAAGAAGCATGTAAAAAAAACCACCATACGATTATCTCAATAGACGCAGAAAAAAGCTTTTGATAAAATTCAACATCCATTTATGATAAAAACTCCCCAGAAAGTGGGCATAGAGGGAACATACCTCAACATAATAAAGGCCACAAACCCACAGCTAACATCATACTCAATGATAGAAAAACTGAAAGTATTCCCTTTAAGATCAGGACCAAGACAAGGATACCCACTCTCACCACTTTTATTCAACATAGTTTTGGAAGTCCTAGCCACAGCAATCAGAGAAGAAAAAGAAATAAAAGAAATCCAAATTGGAAAGGAAGAAGTCATTGTTTGCAGATGACATGATACTATACATAGAAAGTCCTAAAGATGCTACCAGAAAACTACTAGAGCTCATTAATGAATTCGGTAAAGTTGCAGGAGACAAAATTAATACACAGAAATCTCTTGCATTTCTATACACTAACAACAAAAGATCAGAAAGTGAAATTAAGGAAACAAGCCCATTTACCACCACATCAAAAAGGATAAAATACCTAGGAATAAACTTACCTAAGGAGGCAAAAGACCATACTCTGAAAACTTTAAGATGCTGATGAAAGAAATTGAAGACGACACAAACAGTTGGAAAGATATACTGTGTTCTTGGGTTGGAACAATCAATATTGTTAAAATGACCATACTGTCCAAGGCAATCTACAGATTCAATGCAATCCCTATCAAATTAACAATGGTATTTTTCACAGAACCAGAACGAAAAATTTCTAAATTTGTATGGAAACACAAAAGACCCCGAATAGACAAAACCATCTTGAGAAAGAAAAATGGAGATGGAAGAATCACACTCCCTGACTTCAGACTATACTACAAAGCTACAGTAATCAAAACAGTATGGTATTGGCACAAAAACAGACACATAGATCAGTGGATCAGGATGGAAAGCCCAGAAATAAACCTACACACTTATGGTTAATTAATCTATGACAAAGGGAGCAAGAATATACAATGGAGAAAAGACAGTCTCCTGTATAAGTGGTACTGGGAAAACGGAACAGCTACATGTAAAAGAATGAAATTTAAACATTCTCTAATACTATATACAAAAAATAAACTCAAAATGGATTAAAGACCTAAATGTAAGCCCAGATGCTATAAAACTCCTAAAGGAAAACATAGGCAGAACACTCTTTGACATAAATCACAGCAATATTTTTTTGAATCTGTCTCCTAGAGTAATGGAAACAAAAGCAAAAATAAACAAATGGGATCTTATTAAACTTAAAAGCTTTTGCACAACAAAGAGAACCATAAACAAAATGAAAAGAAAACCTACAGAATGGGAAAAAATATTTGCAAACGATGTGACCGAGATTAATTTCCAAAATATGCAAACAGCTCATACAGCTCAATGTCAAAAAAAACATACAACTCAATCAAAAAATGGAAGAAGACCTGAAGAGACATTTTTCCAAAGAAGATATACAGATGGCCAATAGGCACATGA